TCTTAAGGGTTATTATAAATTATTGCAGGTGTTTTTAATATTATTTTATCATTATATTTTCATTCTGTAACAACGGCAATAGATCCTGAAGTAATAGAAGAAGATAAAGAATCAGTGGTATCATATGAAACGGATAATAGTTTCCACCCAGACTGGAGACAAGATTTCAATGCAAAAAAATTCAAAATTTGGACTTACGCTGAAAAAATCCCTGAAAAATTGATGGGTGAAAAAATTGAGTTTGTAAAAAAAGCCATTAGAGCAAAAACTGAATTAACCCTAGTCAGAGTAGAGAACAATAGAAAAGACAAAATGATCTCTGTATTGTTTGACAACAAAGAAAATATACAAGCTGCACTGGAAGTAAATGTAGGCACAGATGCGTAACTGCCCACCTACATGCATAGAGCACAATCGTATAAAAATAATACATTGAATAAAAGGAAAATGGGTATTAAATTATGGGACATCCCTATTGGTGTGAAACATAACAAATTAAAAAGTGAATTAGAAAATATATATGGCGAAGTGGAGCAATTAATATTACACCCAACAGGAATGTGGTAATGGGCAATCGTTATCTTTAATAACTAAAGAACTTCTTAATCAATGGAGCATAATTATTGGTGAAGACTTATTCCGTATCACACCAACTGATTGTAATTATGATAATCTCATGTCACGTGGTAAATTTGCTGCAAGGATAATCAATCTACCCTTTGGTATCACAGCGAAAGAGATTATTCCTAATATCAAAACGATTGGTGCTCTTACTTGCTATATCCCTAGGTCTTGTAATTATAGACATAGAAATGAGACAATTATATCATTTGTAAGTGAAGAAGTACTAGAAACGACATTTGATAAAGAGTGGAAGGCAAGTGAATTCAACATTAAAGTTACAAGCCTGGCAGCAAAAACATGTTACAGATGCCACTCTGAAAAGCATATTGCTAAAGATTGTTCACGGTGTCACCGGTGGTCCTTGGTTTCCTCAAGAACCACCTAATAGTATGACTTGACAGTTCTTTTAAGGAGTTTATAGTCCTTTTCCGAAGGTAAGACTGTTGTTTCATTATTTTAGAAGGCACCACTAATTCAATTATTTTAGAAAGGGAATCAGACCTTTCATCTATTTTATTCCAATATCTTTTTAAGTCCGTCATCATCTTTAATGTTTATCCATTAATCATCTTTTAATTTCTTCAACTTTAAATATTATTTTCAATTATCCAGGTTAATTATTATTCCAAGTTCAGAGTTTATTATAATAGTTTGTAATTAATTTCATTAACTCAGGAATAATAACATTATACAATTATACAATCAAGTATTTA